GTAGTGCGCACCAACGACCCCGCTCGTGAAATTACAACCCAAGATTTTCGAACTAGCACGCTTCAAGAAGTATTTCCTGGAGCTATAATAAAAAGCCGTGTCTAGTGCGAAGCAGTAACTCATTGAAGACAATGGTGGACGGTGGCACAATTTCGTGGGTTGGTTGAAGTGAGACATTAACACCGTTAGATTCCAGCTCAGTGGTCTAGAGGTTAAGCGTTCGAGCGCGAGACCGAAAATCTTGGATTTTAATCTCATGAGTGGGATTGTGAATGCACACTTCTGAATAGTCCCATACTGGGACGAAACGACCGTCTAGTGCTTCCATGTTTTCCAAGGTGATATAGCTTTAATCGACTCATGAATTCAAATAGTATATAAGTCTAACCGATACGTTAAAATATCTTGTTTAAACAATGTTGAATATGATCTTTTCCTGGAAAGTGACATCATATCGAGTAGACAAGTCACCACAAATCCAGAGAAGATGTCTCGAGTTCTCACTACAATGATTAGTAGTGTCTGAATGAACCAATGATTACTACCAATAATCATTATCCTCCATATATAATAAAACTCAGTGTTCCTCTAACAGAAAAAATTCTTCGGATAATGAATTTATTTCTAACCAAACTTTTTCTACGGTGACAGGCAAGTGCTAAAGTGTATCTAATTCCAGCTATTATTGACAAGCCGGTTTTTTTAAAAAAAGAAGATCAGAAATCGATTGAAGATAATTAACTATCAAGTATGGTTTCAACACTGTCTCATTGAAACAAAAATCATCTTATAAGATTTTCATTATCCTGATCTAAACATTTACAAGATCTATATGATGATACTGTAGTATTTCGCCTTCTTTGTATGTACATTGATAACCATTTCATTAAGATTGAAAAATTGCTTTTATCGATTTAAACAAAGAAAAATATCAAATTATCTGAATAATTTAATGCTGCATAATTGTTAGTTTTATTATCGCTGAGAGAAAAAAAACAACCCGTGTAATTTGAACTTAGTAACCACAATAAATAATTCATAATTATTTTTTTAGATAAATTTAAAATTAAAAACATCCACTTGTTGTTAATATGTAATAGAAATGAGAGTAGAAGTGTAAAACTGAGCTATAAATAGAAGCAAACAATAATATAAATTATGATAGAATAGATTTGATTTTATGGTTTGTATAGTAATAACCATTCACAACTGAAGAACATCTGGAACTCAAAACAACTGTCAACCAACACCAAGGTCAGGATTTTCAATACAAATGTCAAGACAGTTCTACTGTACGAGGCGAAAACCTGGAGAACTACAAAAGCCATCATCCAGAAGATACAAGTGTTTATTAACAGTTGTATACGCAAAATAATTCGGACACGTTGGCCGGACACTAATAGCAACGACCAACTGTGGGAAAGAACAAACCATCTTCCAGCAAAGGAAGAAATTAGGAAGAAGCGCTTGAAGTGGATAGGACACACATTGAGGAAAGCACCCAACTGCGTCACAAGACAAGCCCTCACATGGAATCCTGAAGGTCAAAGGAAAAGAGGAAGACCAAAGAACACATTACGCCGGGAAATGGAGATAGACATGAGAAAAATGAACAAGAATCGGGTGGAAATAGAAAGGAGGTCCAGGACAGAATGGGTTGGAGAATGCTGGTCGGCGGCCTATGCTCCATTGGGAGTAACAGGCGTAAGTAATAGTAACAACCGTTTTTTTTAGTTCCTATACATAACACATTTCTCAGCATATAAATAAAAGACATTTATATGTGAATGAATAAAACCATTTTGTAAGAGCTAAAATTAAATAGTTACTTTTTAAAATAATATCAGTTTTTCAAGCAATTTTTATAAAGACTTTTTTCAGTATCTCGTGTCATCTTAACAACCGGGTACACACTAGAAGAATTGACGAATTCTACATGCTAAAAGTATAGAATATGTATAGTTCTTAAACTAATATCAAACAGACATTGGCACATGGTCAAAAACGGCCTTTATATCTAAGTTTCATCTTTATTTATCATTTACATGATGTTGAAAACTGACTGAAGTATAAAATATGGATTATTTTATGTTAAATTAAAAATTCACTATATAATTGAAAAGTTTGAATCCTATTGAAAACCTGATCAACTAATTGTGTACATACAAAAAACTATAACGATTACGAGATTTAGTGATCAGTATTGTTCATTTATTGTCTAAATGAAATCAGTTCATCAAGTAAACCATCTTCATAATATATGTTGTTTCTATCTGTAAAGATAACTCATTCAATAAGCTGTATTATTTCAAGAATATAGGAATTTTTCACTAACATTTAAAATAAATTCCTGGATTTCACTGCTAGACACTAATCATCTTTGCTTATAATGTTTGTGAATTAAGAAGATATCGAAGCAATCCACACGGAATGCACATATGTCAAAGAGAACTGGTCAATTACAGTCGTAAACATCAAAGAGAAGATTCAAGTTAACAATGCCAAGTGAAGTTATTATTTTATAATAGTAATGTTAATATTATACATATAAATCAACGGATCCTTTTTCCATCAATTTGATAGAAGCAAACAATGAATATTACTCATAATTGTAATTATAAATTACGATAATCAATCTTAATTAACAATATTATCCAATTTCATAGTGTACCAATTTAGTCATAAAGTCAAACAATATTCATATTCATTTCAATAGTTGAGATCATGAGTCAATTAAAACTAGACCATCACTATAAACCTGAAAGCATTGAATGGCCGCTTCGTCCTCTTGTAAGACTACTCAACAATGCGCATCCATGATCCCGTTTCGTGAGACTCGAATCCAAGACTTATTATTCTCATGCACGAAATGATGTAGAAAATCGAAAAATCATTTATCATCATAAACATTAAACTACACATTTATGTAAACAATAATAATAATAATAACTTTTTCTATTTCTATTTAAATTAGTGTAAATTAATATAAGAATAAATAATTAACTGTAATTATATGATATACCAGTGAAATTTCTAAAATCTTCACAAAACCCCTTCTGATAATAATCATCTGCTCACTAGTGAATGAATTCAAGAGATACTCCTGGAGTTCTAGTGAGAAGCCGTTACCAGTGCAGTTCAACAAGGTCTGTTGTGAGATATCAACTCACTGAATACAATGGTGTACGGTGGCGCAACTTCGTGGATTGGTTTAGATTAGACAATAACACCATTGGATGTCGGCTCAGTGGTTTAGTTTGTTAAGCGCGTGGCGCGAGATTGATAGGTCCTGTGTTCCAATCTCGCGAAGGGCGGGATCATGAATGCGTACTGGTGAGGAGTCCCGTAATGGGACGAAACGGCCGTCTAGTGCTTCCAGGATTTCCATTGTGGTCTAGCTTCAGTTGACTCATGATTTCAATCTGTGAAATTTCTGAAACTCTCCACAAAACCCCTTCTAATAATAATAATAATAATAACTTTTCCTATATGTATTTAAATCAATGTAAATTACTATAAAAATAAATAATTAACCGTAATTCTATGATTTTCTATTAATCTAAAAAATATTAAATTTATACATTAAAACAAATTAATTATTATTTCTTTTTATTCATTACTTAATTCATTGTTTCGTTGTTTGTTTGTTTCTCTGATTCTTTCTTTTTTTTTTCTCTCTCTTTCAATCTACTTCATCTATGGCACGTGTTCTTCTATTTAGTCACCAGTGTGGTAGATCAGTTCATTATTATGATTATTATTATTATTATTATAAATCTTTTTTTTCTCATTCATCTTAATACTAAAAAAGGAGAAATTTATACCATATGCTAAATGTCTATAATTAAGTGTCTTAAATATATAACATTTCGTTATATAATTTCTCTTTTCTATAATAATTTTATCCGAAGAAATATGTTTATATATGGACATTTCCTTAAAGAGATCTGATTAATGGATATACTTTGTAAGTGAATAGGTTTACAGTCTTTTTATAAATGCAGTTAACCGATAGATAGATATATCTATATATATGTAACATTTATAATTTCCTTTGTATAAGTGACGACTATAGACAAAATAAACAATTGTTACGCGTACGAAAGGGAGGTGATTCGGTGAAAAATCACGAGATGTGTCTAGTTGAATCACTTTTTTTTTCTTCGAGTTCCAATTATTTGACTTTTAGTTTTTGGACTTTTTTCTAATAACTACATAAAATTTAATATTTATTACCATGAGTTATATATACATATATATATATATATATATATATATATATATATATATATATATATATATATATATATCTGCATCTAAATTAAACTATATAGGAAGGTTATTTACACAAATGAATTAAAATTATTAGCTCTATAGGTAATGTATAATGAGTTGAATGTTATAACAAGAGAAACTATATGTAAACAAATAGGATATGATACACTGAAAGCTTATAAAAAACTATATGAATAGATTATGAATCAATTAAGATTCACCAATTTGATCTTTTGATGTTAAACTATTTGTTTTTCTATTATTCAATTTATAAGATTTTAGATAACTTTCAATCATATGAATAATTCATAAAGAGCTACTTATTATTCCTAATTATGATCAATAATTTATTGGATCTTTTTTATTCTTCAAGTAAACAAATAGGTGACAAAACATTTAACTTAGATACTTAATAATCAATAAAATGGAATGGGGGGGAGGTATAAAATAAAATGTAAATATTTTGTTTATATCAATAATAATATTATTATTATGTATGAGTAAATAGTAGAACGAAAGAAAACAAAAAAATTTTTTTATAGAATAATATTTATGAGGTATAAAATTCATTACAATTTTACAAGTAGTATCTTCATTTATTATGGTTATTATTATTGTTTTTGAGGTTGAAAAAAGAAATATAGTCTCTTTTAAAGTATTTTTGTTTCTATGGTTTTTCTTTTTTTGATGTTTCAATTTGTTTAATAATGATCTATTTATTGAATTTATTCTACCGTATTCATATCTTTATTATAATTAAATAATGAACCAATATTCCATGTAAATAAACCACGATTAATACGATCTAATTCTTTAAGAATACAATGTCTCCATTTTAATTTACGTGCTGTATAACTTAAATTATTTTCATCATTATTATAATTATGATTATTATGTGATATAATTGTTTTACTACCAATTAAACGTAAACAATGTTCAGCAGCTTCATCGACTTTTTCTGATGAAAAATATTCATTAATAAGTGCTTCATTATCTGGATCAAACTAGAGTTTGAAAGAAAAAAAAAAGGAGAAAACAAATAGAATCATTTCTTAAGATCCATCAGGGAAATAATCTTATACAAAAACAACAATGAATTCAAAGTAATCTTGTGTTTACTAAAATAGCTGATGAACATTTAAATTTTGTATAAGAAATGAGAATTTTGATGGTCAAAGCTCTTTTCAACTAGTCATAATTTCTATCATACATATAACCAAAGTTTACAGACTGTCTCTGATTATCATTAATTACTAAGTACATCAATATTAATGCAAACAAATATGATTTACCAAGCAAAGCAGACTATATTTTAAGGTTTATTATTATCAATTTCAAAGAAGTAAGAGCCAAATAGCATATTGAGCATTATTCTTTACAAGAACATTATGAACAAATGAAGTTGTAAAACTTTCTACAATATTATTTTAGTACATTTGTTCATGTCAGCCGTGATCCATTTTCCATTTTGAAACTGCTACGATGTAGTATTAAACAGAAGTTGCCGTTATAGTAATAATAATATTTTTCAGTTTTATATTAACCATACCGCTAAATAAGACGAATATTATTCAGTTTTTAACAATTAGGATAAAATATTAATTTACATTATCTTTATTGATGTTTTTCGTATTAGCAGACTTCGAATAGACACTACCTTGTGCGATGGATATGAAGTTTATTTAGAAACTTCATTAATATCGTCTGTTTCAATAATGATGAAGTGATTATGAATGATGAATGTTCAATTAAACTATTATTGTTTCATGATTTGGTAGGATTCGTATTCGAATCATAGCCATTATTCCACTTTAATAGAGAACATGTGAATAAATGGCAATATTGAGACGATTCAATCACCATGTACACATACTAAAAGAGATTGATAAATTACAATCGTCAACATCAACAGCTCAAAAAAAATGCAAACAATTACAAAGAGAATTTATATCCCTGAACAGTTGAATGCCTAATTGGTAACTTAATGATGAAGCGAAAACTCCTAGGTTCTGATACAATTTTGAACATTAACAGTGAAATACTAACAAATGCAACTGACAACTTTCTAATAAGACATAATCAGCAACCTACACTTCATCAACTCAAACTATTTAAACTGAATGAAAACTCGAGACAAATTTCATTTACGTTATTTCTAACACAAAAATGACTGTTCAAAACCAATTCTTATCGTTTCAAAGTGTATTAAAGCAGAATATCTTTTCTTTGTGTGGGGAGGGGATAAATCAATAAATCAATAATAATTTACCATGTTGATATGTGTATTTTTTCTTATAATTTCGATCGTAAATTATTCAGAAATCTGATCAAGCAAAATAATGATAATAAACATTAATATGAATAGATTATCAATGATAATTATTATTCGCTAGATCATCGTTTTCAATAAGCAACATCAAATGAGCTATTACAATTTTAAATGAACAACTTATGAATGAGACAAAATGTTTGACATTTATGTTTTCTTTCAACAACAACAAAAACAAAAAGAAAATTTAAGTCAAACAGATAATATCAATACTGAAAACACCAAATTGATAATAAAAACAAGAATATCGAATTAGATAAATATTATAGTTATGAAGTCGTATTATTATGATTATTTACTGAATAATCCTCTTAAATCTTGATTCAATCATTAGCATAGAGAATATTAGGTCTATCGATCTATGTTCATATTGATAGAATATTTTCTAAGATAAGATTAATTTTTCATTGAAAGTGTTCATCGATGAAGTTGATACCATTTATTCAGGTAATGTGTTCCAATCATTAATTATTCGATGAGTAAACGAAGATTAACTCATATTCTTTTGTTTCATTGAACTATGTCATATTCACTACATAGAACTCAATACACATCTATAAAATGTCTTCCTTTCTAAATGTATTATCTTTTTCTTGTATAACTTAAAGTAATGATGTATAGTAAATAGTACCAGTATGATAAGGATAGAATTTCAATGATGGTTATGAAAGAATATATATGAACAACGTAATAAAATTTCATTAGTTTTAATATATTCAAAATGCTTCATTTCACTTCATTTACCTTCTTGGAAATTTATATTATTAAATTAAATTATTTTCGATAGATTTTCATTTTCATTTTCATAACTTGAATAAGACTCTTTGAATATATTCAGTTTAAACTACGTTTTAATATTCTTCTTCAATTTCCATCTTTTTTAATTAATAATTTCCATGTGTATAGTTAAAAGTAATTTAATATAATAAAATAAAATTGTTTTTTTTTCGAAAAAGAACTTTTTTAAACATCTATCCGAAGAGGTTTTGTGAAGATTTCAGAATATTCACTGATTGAAATCATGAGTCATTCGAAGGTGGACCATCATGGAAAAGCTGAAAGCACTGGACAGCCGTTTCATCTCCACAAAACCCCTTCTGATAATAATCATCTGCGTACTAGTGACTGACGTCAAGAGATACTGCTGGAGTTTTAGTGAGAAGGCGTTACCAGTGGAGTCCAGTAAGGTCTGTTGTGAGATATCAACTCACTGAAGACAATGGTATACGGTGGCGTAATTTCGTGGATTAGTTGAAATTAGACATTAACACTGTTGGATACCGGCCGGTTCAGTTGTCTAGTTAGTTAAGTGCCTGGCGTGAGACTGATAGGTCCTGTGTTCTAATCTCGCGAAGGGCGGGAACATGGATGTGTACTGATGAGGGGTCCCATACTAGGACGAAACGGCCGTCCAGTGCTTCCATGTTTTCCATGGTGATCTAGCTTCGACTGACCTATGGATACGTTAATAAACTTTAATAGAGAACAATTTGAAAATAGTTGTTTAATCAATAATACTTCTTTTGTCTCCTCTTTTTTTGGCTTGTTTGCCAAATTCTATATTGTTTAAGGTTCAATTTATTTTATAATTCCTTTTTTCAATTATTTATTAAATATAATATTTGACATAATTTGAATTCAAAAAGAATAAAAATAATGAAGAAACTTTATATTGAATATATGGTGGGTGTATAAAGTTTAAAGAAACTTTGTTTATCATTGATATTCTACTTGTAACTATGGTATTAACCATTAAGTAGTAAACATTGTAAAGTAACCTTTATCTTCTTTTTGTTTGTTTGTTTACTTTTCAACGGTAAACGTCTTGTTTAGATTCTGTTATGTATAAAACAATAATTATTATTTATATACATAATATGATAATATATATTGAATTGTGGAATTTTAAATATTTGTTGACGCTATAAATAATAAGTACCGATGAAATTCAAATTATGGATTTGATCCAGTCGTTGACTTGTCAATTTAATGTTAATTACATGGAATATAATTTAGCAGTTTGCTTGAATATCTGTTTTTGATATCAACATATCTCAATAAGTTACCTATCTTTTGTTTGTTTTAACACATCATTATGTCACTTACCTGCATAACTTATTTAGGCGTGTTTATGAAGTGTTTACAATCTTTCACTGTAAAACATACATTTTGTTGGATGTTAATATGCATTGAAAACAATGATTATTGTTCAGATTTCAATTCTTGAACTGCTAACATCTAACTAGTGGTAAACTCATCAGAATAGATGAAGAAATAAGGAGAGCAAACTTGATGAAGTACATTGTGCTAAGAATTCTATATCTTAAATAAATTGAATAAAGTTATTATTAATAATACATTTCAATATATCGTTATGTATATAGATGAATTTTCCAAATTTTACTCTCTTTTCATTTAGATAAGCGGAAATATTTTAGTTTCCTTAAAATATCCTATTAGAAATCAATATATATACGTATATCTGTATTCTACACCTAATTGCCTAAGAATTGATTAATTTAGAGAAGTAAATATTGTTTATTTGTTTACGAAAAATAGAGAATCTATTTATTTATTTATTTACAAATAGTTGGCATTTTTTCGAGAAAATACTTCATTCTTGATACTTTTACATAAGTGTAAATTTATTTTGTACTTGACAAATTTTATCATTATGTATATGCACTTGAAGAAAAAAACTTTTATTTTTATGGTTTAATGGTTACAAATGTTAAAAGCATAGAAAAGAATAAAATGATCGATTGGGACTGAATATTCAGGAACAGTAAACAGTAGATCCCAAATCATCATATTCGTTAAGGTATATATATGCGTGTAACGAAATCGAATAAAGCAACATCAATAAATTCAGCTTTCATTTTCTTGGACATTGTTGCAATAAAATTATGCAAACATTTATTCTAAATGAAAGTTTGGTAATTGCAACCTTAAGCATTTAGTGATTAACAGATCTCCTGTTGTTTTATTCTTTTGCTTAAACTACAATTATGAACAATTAGAGATTTTAAAACATATCGTAACATAATTAAGAGTTGTGTAATCTAGTTCACTTAGTAAACTTTTAGAAGCTAAACGGAATTCAATACGTTTCAAATGGTCAGAATTACATACATATATATATTTATCTATACCAAAAGAAAAGGAACTATTTACTTTGACAAATAGTCATTTGAAATGTGCGCGTACATATTTTCTTTCGAATAAATACTAGAAAACAAGATCTTGTAAAAACGTCTACCTATTCAACAGATTAAATATAAAATACCACAAGAATCACCTATTGACAGTAAATTAATAAATATTTGACTTTGATAATAATAATAAGCAAATGATAAAACATAAAATTAGGATAAAAATTATTATATAATAATAAATATAATCACTAACCTGTTTTAATGAAACACTTTGACCAACTGGCATATATTCAGCCATTGAACATAAAATTAGAAAAGTGATAATTTCAATGATTTGTTTCATATTGATGAATAAACTCTGTATATATATGTGTATATACATACAGTATAAATAATCTTACAGTGATTGTATTTGTTTTGTTTTTTTCTTTCTTTTTTTCTCGCTTTTTTTCTCTTTTAAAGAATTTCTTTTATAATGATTAAATAATAAACAAATAGTTTTATGATGAATGAAAGAAATAAATGAAACAATTAGATGTTTTATAGGGAAAAATGAGTAGAAAAATGAACTTCACTTTATGGATATAAGTCTTCTATGTAAATATATATATATATATATCTATATATCTATATAGAGTTATGATATCACGTTATGCATGATATTACATTAAATATACACTAGACATATTTATATAGTTTTGTCAAATTTTATGATTGGTTAATTAGGGAAATATTCTTTTTTCATATCATAGAATAGTTACTTTATTTATTTATTTATTATTATTATTATAATAAACAACTATGTTTTTACTTCTCCCTTAGAGATGACCAATCATATTTTAATAAAAGAAAAATATTCCGCTTTCCATTTGTTTTTAATTGTGAAATTGAAAAAAAAATTAAAAAAATTAAAAAATAAAAAAAAAATAATAATAACAACCTACTTATACATTACAAAAAAAGCAATTGTCAATATAAGATAAAGTACAAAGATTATTATTATGATTGATAATTAATAATTAATACTCATTATTTGATATTGAAACTAATTGTCATGGTTTATAAAGTAAAAATTTTGTTTATTCCGTTTTTTTTTTCTTTTTGTTCCCCATATCAACTATACTTGATTCAATAGTTTTATTAATATATAAAAAGTAATAAAAATATCATTGATTATAGAACATGAACATTGAAGACAATTTTTATTTGTCTCAATGTATATTCTCTAGTTTTTTCTTTAAAAAAAAAAAGAAGAAAAAAGAAAACGACGAAAAAAACATATTTGTCTATCATTTTTCAGACTAGTAACAAAAGAAATTAATAATCATTGTGATTTTTAATTTACGTACTTATTATTGTTGATTCATTGTGGGCTGTTTAAAGGAAATAAAGAGAGAGATATATATATACATGTATTCATTAAATGTTAATATAAAATTAAAGAAATATATGAAATATGAAATAAAAACTATCTAAACAATAATAAAATTTACCTTGTAATTTTGTAAACTAAATGAAGCAATAAATTAATACTTTGAAATAGATATCACCTTTTTTTTTCTTTCTTAACAGAATGATTTTGTTTAAAGTGACTATGAAATGATTATCAATAGAGGTTTTTGTGAATATTAAAGTAATTTTAATAGTTGAGATCATAAGTCAATTGAAGCTAAATCACCATGGCATGTGGATATGTTGCTCTATTTTGTGGATTAGTTGAAGTAAGATATTAACGCTGTTAGATGTCAACTTAGTGGTCTCGATGATTATTATTATTATTATTGGCTTTATTCAATATTATATTATTGGTACAATATAGAATTCTCAGCACAAAGTATTTCAACAAGTTTCCGTTTCTTTCTTTTTGGTCGGTCCTCGCGATAAATACTGAGTGGTCGCCAGCTAGATGTTAGCAGTCCAGTAAATGAACATGGGAATGATGTACATTCTTTTCGTTGTATATTGCCAGCAACCATATTCTCTCTTTTTGAGCTTTTTGTAACTTTGATAGCGAAAGGTTGTACATTTTTCAGAAACGCAGCAGAATAGGTTGTGCGATTAATAGACATAATGATATATTAAAACAAACAAAAATAGATAACTTGTTGAAATATCTAGATGGCAGGAACAGGTAGCCCAGATGCTCAAGCAGGCCGCCGATAAGCACTCACGTGCAAGACTGACAGATCCTATGTTTGAAACTCGTGAGGGGATATCGTGCGTGAACACTGTTGAAGAGTCACACAATAGGACGAAACAGCCGTCTAATGCTTCCAGGTTATTCATATTAGCCTAGCTTCAATTGACTCATGATATCAACTATGAAATTAGTTTGAAATGTGAACTTCTGTATCAGTTTATATAAAGTTAAAGAAATCGACAGTCGATTGAGTTATGGTAGAACTTACACACATTATACAAGTTAGAGTCTATTTGAACTCAATAGCTCAATGTACAATCAGTTGAGTGTTGTAAACTAAAGGTAATGAAATTTAATACCAGCCCAAACATCAATACTTGAATTCAAACACACACACTCATTTGGTAAGTTTAAATTACAACGAAACTCACTCTCTGAATTCCGCTGTTAGACACGTTCCATCAGTTTAATAGAAAATTTTGATATAATGGCTACATCGAATCAATCTTCAGAAGATGCTCATCAGTTATATAAAGCTGCCTAAAATTTTAAAAAAGACAGGATCATCCAAACCATTACAAATAACAAGATATATTCACTTTTCGCCAGACAACCAGTTTTCATAAAAATCTTAACTTGATTAAACTAAACAGATCTTTAAACAAGAACTTCCGTCTAAATTTGATCTAATGGTTTGACAGTATTTAAGCGCCTAGTTGATGTGAGACATTAAGGAGGAAGAATGTATCTCAGCGAATGAATTTGAAATAAATCCAACGTTTCACCTGACAATCTGGTTCAAGCTTTCTCAAGGGAAATGTGATCAAACATCAAAATAATCGATACATTTACTTCAAATTCATTCACTGAGATTTACATTGAACCAGAGTACCATGTACCTATTCATATTCGATAAGTCTGATTATATTTCCTTGAAAAAGCTTGGACCAGATTGTTAGGTGAAACGTTGGATTTACTTCAAATTCTTTTACTGAGACTCTACAAATGCATTGTTTCTCTTTAAGCAAGTCATTGTTTTAATAAATTTAAAGAATGTATATTTATATATAGGTATTAGAGAAAACGTGTTTCAGAAAACAGACTAGATTTTTTAGTACATTCTTCAGAGTATACACCAAACGTTTATGAAACACAATGTGTTGTATGAAAATCTGACTTTTATAAACAATACAGATGCAAGTATTTTTTAAATAGTAACTACTTATTGGAGCTCATTAACAAAAAAAAACTGTCTTTAATGCCTTTTATTTTTTACAGAGATTGTTCTAGAAAGTTTGTTGCCTTCCTATAACTTCTAAGAGTTTCTAATAAATAAATCTTTTAAATCCATTTGAATGTGTTGCTCTTATATCTTTGAAAATTCAACTGTTTGTGCGTATTTTCAAAAATGATGTTGATATTATTTCGCAATGCTATTTTATGAGTGTCAAGTGCAACTGACCAACTAGATTTTCCATTCATCTCAAATCAGTTTAAATAAATCCCAAACACTATTTCTTACTTGGTGGTTCTTGCATAATCTTGAAATTTTCTTCTCGAACTAGTTGTCATATATGAATGTTGCACTGTAACTACATTTAGAATCTTTTTCCACACCCCTCGACATGTGAAAGGCATATAAGATGATTTTAGATATTTAATGAGTTACTTTTAAAATAGATTTTAAACAACTAACATAATTCATGATAAAAGTCTTGGCTTTTGTTACACCTGTCATTATCAGTTATATTTTAATTAAACGAACATTAATTGACATTCATTACCACGACTATCTATAGCATCCATTTACAATAACGAAACCACTTATACATCTCTGTGTATAAATGATCTAAAGCATACTGGAAGACTCATGTGACTGTCCCTTACATAATAAATTGCATAACGGCATCATTGGTCGACTCGATGCACAGATGTTATTTACCATTGCTTTCTAGATACCTAATAGTTTACGTAACTACATTATTTTATACCATACCAAACCAGATTTCATTTCTCTTAAAAGGATAATTAGTTTAAACGAAGAATAAAACTTGTTGGGAAGTGTCAGAAACAATATACCCAACTAACTGTAGAGATATAACGTGTCTTTCGTGATCTTGTCGCATTAATTGTACCTCGCCTCTAAATCAGTTACATAACAGATTTTTTAAGAGGTAATTTTTAGTCATGACATTTTACATTAGATAAGAACGCTAGGTGAAAACTGTTATTGAAATAACTGGAAAAAAAGTAACACAAGTTACCGGATGCCAAACCCACATTCTTGGTAACTGTTATTACTATTATTTTATCCAATAACCTTCACTATGACCAAGCTAAGTATAATTAGCACGGGATGCGTCATGTAGCACAGCACAAAATTCAGAATAAAAAACAAAAACATTCATCACATTAAAAAACCTTATAAAAAATAATTCCTTTGAAGGTTTTGTTTGACCTCTAAACAAATAAGACATAACATGTGAACAACCATTTTTACATGTGAAGTTTAATGTAGACCATTTGTCTTGGAATGAAAATCTTTACCCAGTGTTTAGCATCCGTTCGTTTGGAGAAATTTATGAAATTCAATCTCGAAATGTAATTTTTTTTTAAATTATGACAAATTTATAAAGCAATTTAAAATCAAGACAAATCCAAACCGTACCACTTTTTAAAAAGAATGATTTGCTTGAAATCTTTGATTGCTTTACAAGCCAATATTCATTATAAGAGAGTAAAATGTATCAAAACTTACAATTCATTAAAATCCCTATCCAAAAGTCGATCAATTCACATAAAGCATAGAAGTGTTCACTATTACAATTGAAAGCTGTAAATGTTTCTACTCACCTAGGATTATTTGTATAATTTAACCTTGAACAACACTTAAATATCATTTATTTTATTTTTTTAAGGATACTTTTGATTTTGTAGTTGAGTTCATGAGTCAATTAAAGCTTGACCATTATAGAAAACCTGGAAGCACTAGACGGCCCTTTCGTTCTAGTATGAGACTTCTCAGCAATATGCATCCATGATCCCTCTCGCTCGATTCAAACCCAGGATCTCACAAGTGAATAATTAACCTCAAGACCACTGAGCTGGCATCCAACGGTGTTGATATCTAACTTCAACCAATCCACGAAATTTTCATTTATCACAAATAAGCATAAAGTTTAACTTGATAGGTCATATAAATTTTCTATGCGCTAAAGTAATTTCCAGTCAATTATTATAAT